GGAAAGGAAAAGAAAAGGACCATCAGGGAATCTTCACACCCATGTTGAGCAGTCTCCCTGAAGGAGCTGGAAGGTGGAGGCCTCGTTGGAACCATTGTCGGAGGCAGGGGTTGGAACCTTGGATTTCTGGGACATTCTAGACACTTGACAGGTAAGGGTCCTACACTCCTACAGTGGCTCATCAGGAGGAGTGTCGTGGAGTGTCAAACCTGGATGACCTCCCTCACAGCCTCCCTCTCTTCTATCACAAACACTTTGAGGGAACCCAGCTTCCAGTTGGCACCATCATCTCCCAGACCAGACATGCCCTGCCCGTCCCTAGTACTCTCTGCCCTGTAAGTCTTTCCACACACAGCTCTGCTGTCCTGTCCCCTAGAAAGTTTACCTAGTCCCCTAAGGTCTTCCTGATGGCTGGATGTTCACCCTCTTCTCCACCTAGCTACCCCCAGAAGAGCTCAGTAGCAAGGCAAGTGGCAAAGAGTAAAGAATATTCTGGGAGTTTCCAGGGGCTCTGAATTCAATCTAGACACCCCCTCACACACACACACACACACACACACACACATACACCTCTGACTAGCTGGATGTAGAAATTGCCCTTCCAATATGTAAAATGGGGTAGAAATTGCTCTTCCAATATGTAAAATGGGGTGCACATGTGAGCCAGGAGAGAAGGGGGACCTGTGGCCTGTGGGGCAGCTTCAGCTCAGTCATAGTCTGGGGCCCCTTTCATCTCTATCCCCAAATTAACCCCCCAGTGACTTGCAGCTGCCTCCATGGCTCAAACACACCCATTCTGTAAAGGACAGGGACCTTGTTCAAGGTCGTCCCTTAAGGACTCCAGCTGCCCCAGTTGTGTAGCAGCAATTGGAGCTGGCTGGCTCTGTGCCGCCCTGTCCGCCCACCTGCCCACATCTGCTCTGAGTCATCGATACCTCGGCCAAAACAGGAGCGTGGGGGCTGCAGAGACAAGGTTAGCCCAAGGACACTATGTGAGTAAATGGAAGTTGTGCTGAGGAATTTTTATTCCTAAGAGGGCAGAAGCAGGACACAGAAGGGAAACTGAGGCCAGAAAGAGTAGGATTACCCAAGGACGTGCAGAGAGTTAGAGTCGGTTCTGCCTAGACCTCCTGACTGATGGATGTTCTTTCCACCCTGTCAGACCTGCAGTGAAGGAGGCAGGGCCAGCAGCCTTCACAATTATCTGGGCAATTAAAGCAGGCAGATGGTCCTGCTGGACTGAGCATTCAAGTTGACAAACGGAGACAGCACGGGGCATTAGCTGACGAGATCAGCACAGGTTCCAGTGGCAGGGATGTGAGCGAGGTGGGTAGGCGGAGGCACATTTCACTCAATGTGTGCTAGATGAGAGAGGACTATGGGATACTTTGCCCTCTCTATGCTTCTTGTGCACTGCAGGCCCTGTGGTCCAGCTGAGTCTGCACTCCACAAAACGGACACAGACAAGATTGTGTGTGGCAGAGGCTAGGCATGGGCAGTACTAGTAAGCTGAAGTGTCCTGCAGAAGCTTCAGGGCCCATCAAGGCTGCCAAGGTCCCCCTGGGCAGAGCTCCAGAAGGCAGAGAACCTCAGGGATGCTAGAAAGGTCAGCACATGTGTGAGGACATGAGTGGGGACATCGCAGAAAGGATGCTGCTCCCAGCAGAACAGGAGACACACTGACCATTGAGGAACAAAATACCCTGGCAAGATGCTTGGGCTTCGTAGTTATCTTGCCTAGGCAGACTCAGACTCCATCATTTCTTACACATCTGGGTTTTGAAAATCATTTCTCTTTTAGCCTCAGATTCCCTAGGTGCAATGTGGGCAACTTAGCTCATAGCTCCCAAGTCCAAGAGGAGAACAAGCATGGACTTGTTAAGTACAGAGCATGGTATCTGACAAACAGCAAGAACACAGAACAAGGCAGAGCTTCACACCAGCCTACCAGGACGCTGAAATCCTGGAACAATCCCAGGATGAATTTATTCCTTGGCGCAGTCTCTAAGACACCTGGTGCCCTAGACCTGGAGGAGGGCAGAAGCCCAGGAGAGGGACCAGTGGACGAGCACTGGAAGGAAGGAACGTTGCTTGAGTGGGAGTCAGAGCTGAGCCTCATGGTGCTAGGGGAGGTAGGGCTGTATAAGAAATGTCAGGAGTTAGCTGTGGTGGCCAGGGTGAGTCCTGGGGAGAGTCTCAGGGGTTCTCCTTCCCTGGGGGTGGGAGGGAGGAAGAAGCCACCGTGATGTGTGGCCACAGCTAGGAGAGGAGGATGAGGATGTCTATTCTGACCTGTGCTGTGCCCTTAAGACTTGGGGCAGTACCAGGTACACAATAGGTACTTGATACACTTTGAATGAGACAGGGCAGTACACCCTGTGTCAGCATCGATTAATTGTGTGCCCTGCAGCCCTGTTTGCGTAAGCTGTTCCTTCTGTTACTTATCTAGCAAATTCCTCCTGAGAGCCCTCCCTAGGCTTCTTCTCAAAATCATTGTTTCCTTCTTCCGGTATTAACTGGACCCTTGTACTTCAGTTGACAAATATGATATGGGTCTCCTATGGTCACCTAGCCTGTGACCCCCACTTTCAAACCATCAGAGGATAAGGCCCTTGAAGGTCTTATTTGAAAAAGAGGAGAAACAGGAAGATCTATTGAAAACATGGGTGGGGATGCTGGTGAGGTGACTCTGGGTGGAGAGCCTTGCCAACGAGCCTGATATGAGTTAGATTCCCTGGACACACTGACTCCTGCAAGCTGTACCTCGGCCTCCTCACATACACCATAGTGCGTGTGAGCACACACACTATGATATGTAAAACATATAACAATAAAACAAGGCCATGGACTGAAGGTAAGAAAACATGTCCCCAGACATTAAAATAAAACCTTGAAGGACGAGAGAGAGGGATCAGTGGTTAGAGCATGTTCTGCTCCTGGAGAGGGAAACTAAGGACTCAGGTTTGGTTCTCAGAACCCACATCAGGTGACTCATAACCACCTGTAGCTCCAGTCAGGGGACTCCAACGCCCCCTTCTGGTCTTTGTGAGCACCTGCTTGCACACAATACACATACAGAACATATAAAATAACTGAATAAATCTTAAAAATATAAAACCCTGAATATCAAGCTAGGGGAACCTCTTGCTTCCCACCAAGACCTCAGAGCTCCCTCGAGCAATAGCTCCATGCAGTGGTGTATGGCTGTGTGTCTCCCAGAGAGCACCTCTTGTGTTAGAAGCCAGGCCACACCTTCTTCACGTAGGTCCTCAGCCAGCCAGGCTACATGCTTTTATACTTTGCCACTTCTCCATGAGGAGCTCAACACTCAAGGGCCTGGCTGCTGTGGGGCAGAGGGTGTAACGTGGAGCAGGGTGCAGAGAGGCAGGAAGAGGACAGGAGGATCCAGTTCACACCTCAAGAGCCCCGTCTGTGCAGGGCCCAGCTCCACACTCTAAGTTGCTATCTGAAGCCGGTGGCTTTTCTTGGTCTGCCCACTATAGTGGAGAAACTGAGGTGTGATGGCTGTCATAGCCACACTGAGAGTGACAGCCAGGGGTGAGATTTGAACCCAGGTCTGTCTGAGCAGACACAAACACTTCCTTGGTGTCCAAAAAACACATCCTCAGCCTTTCTCCAGATCTCAGGGTCTTCCACAGAGAGCAGCCCTAAGATGTGTTCAACCACAGTAGCATCACAGGGTCCTCAGGACTCATGGATCTGAACAACAGCTTTGAAGAGGAGAGACCTCTTAGGGCACAGTGGAGAGTTCCTGGGCAACCCTGGTCCTGATGCTTTTGTCCCTGCGGAGACCTCTAGAGACCAGCGGCTTACAGGCCAGAACGGGTCCTGGAGCCCTCTACTTCCTATGGACCCTTTGGCCCCTCCCAGGGGAGCGGCCCCACTTCATATAGGTTCTTCAAATGCTAATAAAATGGTCACCGAATGCACATCTGTAGCTCAGCTGTGTGGCCTTGGACAAGTTTCTTAACTTCTTTGAACCTCAGTTTTCTACTATATAACTAAGAATGGACTGGCATTGAAGAACTCAGTGGGGACTGTAAGGAAAGGCCTTCTCTGACACACCCTGGCACTGAACTAAGGTCTTTGTTGTTAACAGCCTGGGAATTCTTAGCTCTCAGCCTGAAGTACAGGACTATGAATCTCTGCCATCCTTATCTCCTGTATATACATGGAGAACAGAGGGCCGTAACACGTGACATCTAGGGTCACACAGACTCTTGGGGTTTAACACTCAGCTCCACACTGTGCTCCCCGGAACACTGCAACCTTGTCCACACCTGAGGCCCCTCTTCTTCTCCAAGAACTGGACCTGTTCCAGGTATAGGACCAGTGTCAACTCAGAGTCTATTCAGCTTGGACGAGAGCCAGGCCCAGGCTTCACCATCAGCCCTCAGGCCCCAGCCTGCACCAGAGGTGTGAATGTGTGCAATCACACACTGACACACTGCCAGCCTGCTCCAACCACAACACAGCCCCATAGTCTGAATAAAGAGGAAAGAAAAGCCTTTTAGGGATACATCCCAGGAGGGATGTTGAGGGGTGGGGACCAGAAGCGCAGAAAAGTAAGACATAGAAAGACACCGAAAGGGACCCTTGGACAAAAACAGGAAGGGTGGGAAAGGGCAGTGTGAGCAAATAGGAGAAAGGTGTGGGAGAGACACAAGGACAGCCATTAGGACAGGGAGAAGCACCAAAGAGAGGTGGAGACCCCGAGGGGACTAGACAAAGAGAGATGGGGTGGAGAGAAAGGAAGATACCCAGAACACAGGGAGACGGAGCCCCAGAGAAGAATGCAGAGAAATAAGCAACTGACAAGTGCCAAGGGAAGAGACCCAGATTCTAGGTCCCACGAGGTATGTCACAGAGATACCCCAAGCACCCAGACAAAAGCAGGCTAGGAGACAGTGGGACCAAAGGTAGAGAAGGAGCCTCCCCAGTGGCTCCTCCAGCACCCCACAGCAGTCTCTGCTCCGTACCTTTGGGCCTCCGCCTCACCACGCCCAGCCGCCACTTGAGTGACACCGCCAACATCACTACTGCCCGCCGGCAAGTCCCAGACCAGGAGCCCTGAAACCTCCCTGCAGCCGCCCCGCAGCCTCGGAGCCGGGAGCTGGCGCCTCTGCGCTGCGCCCCAGCCGCCTGACTGGTGGAGGCTGGGCGCTCCTGGCCTCCTCCCTTCCCGAGTTGCTAAAATAGATAATCCTCCCCAGAGCCGGCAGCAAGGCCCTTCCTCCACTGCAAGCGGGGCGCCAGAGCAGATCTATCTTCCCAGGTCCTGGCATGGAGAACCTATATTCAGCACCCCAATCCTCTATTTCCTCTTCCCGCCAAAAAAGTGCCGCCTAGCCCACCCCAGCTTCTGCTCAGCTCCATCAGCCTCCACCTCTTCCTCTGCCAGCTGTTGGGTCTCTCCATCTAAAACTGCTCTGTGAAACTTCTCTGCCCGAGACCAATTGATTGACCCTCGGATACCCATGAAGGGCTGGCCTGCTATGCCACAGAACAGACCATTGGCAACATGTCCCAAGCCCCCAGTGGGTACCCCCTGATTGATGGGCATGAGTCCACAGGGCCAAGCATTTGAAAGGAGCTTCCTAAACACATGTCCCATTTCCCTTCCTATTGGCTAAGCAGTATTATCCTTGGGGGGAACTGAGACACAGGATCAGCCACTTGCTTAGGGTCAAAGTAGGCATGTGGCAGAGAGGGATTCCCTACCTTCTCCCTAAGGTGGCTGCTTGGGCTCCCTCCTCAGTTCTTAAACCTCTAAGCCCCTAGGATGGGTCTGGGCCCAGACCACACTCTCAGGAGCCCAGAGGACTGCTCGGGAGTCAGGGCTGCAGAATTCTACTTCAAAGGGAGTCAGGGCTGCAGAAGAACTCTGCCTCAGTCAGCAGTGCTGTGGCCTTGATCCAGGAAGCATGAGGCTTACCCTAACACTCTGCAGCAGATCTTCTGCCAGGCCTGGGCACCCAGTCTGCCCAAATGCTGCTGCATTCTTGCTGACAGAGTGATTGGAGCAGAGGGCAGTGTGGGGAAAGTAGAGCAGGCAATGAATAAGAGGCCCCGGAGGAAGAGTTCCAAGGTCTCTCAGGAGACTGACTCCTAAGGGGTTGTCTGGGTTCTTCCTGGCTGTTAAGATTTCCTTGGAGCATCTTTGACACTAGGCTTCAACTAGAAACAGGCTCTGAGCTGATCCTCTGGGGGGGGGGGATTCCTGTTGGGGATAGGGAAGAGGCGCACCAGCAAGATGCGGGTGGGGGTGGGGGACTGGGTTTCTTATACAACTCTGTGTGAGATTTTTGTTCTCCCACCCTTGGGGCTGGACAGGGGGTGTTTCAGAACCCTAGGCAGGGATAAGCTCAGGAAACTACAGGTGGTCCCTTGAATGAGATTGCCTGGCTCTTCCCACCCTCGCATACTCCTCAATGGACCAAAGAGTCTTGGACACCAAGGCTGAGACTCAGCCATGCTAACAGCAAGGGGAGAGAAAAGAGGACACGGTCTTTGGGGTGAACAGATCTGAGTTCAAATCAACTCACCTTAGGGGAGAGGGTGGGGAATCCTTCTCTGCCACATGCCTGCTCTGATTCTAAGCAAGTAGCCGATCTTGTGCCTCAGTCTCCCCAAGGATAATGCTGCCTGCCCAGCCAATAGGAAGGGAAATGGGACATGTGTATTGAGCTTCTTTCAAATACCTAGCCCTGGTGGACACCCGCTCCATCAATCTGGGTACCCTCTGGGTCTGTTTTCCCACTTAACTAACAGGACTAAGACTTATTCCCTGCCTCTGAAGGGAGCTGCAGGAACAGAGTCTACAGTTGAGTCTGCCATACAGGAGCTCAGCCAATAAGTGGTAGCTATTAGCCTGGTTGTTCTACATGGAGCCCATCCCTATATACAAGCCGAAATGAAAATCTGGGCAGGAGAATCAGAAGCCTGCTCCTTCTCACAGCCTATCTCCTTTAATCTTCACACTGCACCAGGATGGTCCGATGAACATTCCCCTTTTACAAATGAGGAAGCTGAGGCTCAGAGAGGTAAAGGACTCCACCAGGGTTAAACAGGATGCAAGTGGCCAGAACAAGGTCCCAGATCTTAGCCATAACACTAGGCCAACTGCTGGACAGTGATGACACATGCCTTTGATCCCAGCACTTGGGAGGTTGAGACAGGCATATCTCAGTGAGTTCAAGGCCGGCTTGGTCTACAGAGCAAGTTCTAGGATAGCCAGGGCTACAGAGAAACCCTGTCTCAACACCCCTAACTCCTCCCCAAAACTAAGCCAACCAACTGCCACAATTGGGTCAAATAAGTGTCTTCTGTAAAAGTCCTACTGTGTGCCATGTGTCCTGCCAGCTCAGTACAGATACAAGAGGCTGCTTCTCACCAGTATACAAACTATCAGGTAACAGCCAGAACCAGATTCCAGGGCAGGAAGTCTGGCCAAAAGGACCAGACCATGCCCCCCACCCCTAGTGTTCTCTCTAGTAAAAAGAACGGGGCTTAGGATATCTGCCAGTTGACATGGCAGGTAGAAACCACAACAAATCCTAAGGACTCAGATAATGCTGAGGGCAGGATTCAGATACAGGGCTGGCTTAACTCCCCTCAGCACACAAGCTTTACAGATCTCAAAACCCAGGTAGAAAGACGGGAAAGAAGGGACTCAGGCCAGCCTCTGCCTGCCATTCTGCTTCCTCCAGTCCTGCCTCAGCCTCACAAAGTCCCCAAGGCCCTGGGTCCTCACCACCCCCACCTGCTTCTGGAAACAAATTAACATCTCATCAGAGATGCCTTTTAATCTTCTTGGCCTTTTCTGCCCCACAGGCCCAGCGGTGACATTTCTGTCACCAGCTCTGCTGATATAAATAAGATCCAAGGCTGGGGAGGTGTCAAGAGGTGGGGGACCCTCTGCACAATTCCCTCAGGCTAGGGGAGGGTGAGCATGGGGACTATCCATCAATCCCATCCCCTCTTTCATCTAACTAATTTATTAGGCTTCATCTCTGTGCTGCCTCTCCTAAGCCCAGCAGCGAACAAAACAAGGTTTCCTAGTGTTGATGTTCTAGTGAGGAGGAGAGAGGAGAGCAACAATGTAATAAAACAGTAAGTGGTGTAACAGGTGAAACAAACAGAGCAAGAAGGCAGGTGTCCCCATACAGTTTCTGTTGTCTCCCGAGACCCAGACTGTGGACTCTTCATAGCTTCTGCAGGCTGAAAAGACCCCCCAGGGCTGACATAAGGCTGGGCTAGAGGGGACATGCTCAATATCTTTCCTCGGTCCCAGAGATTAAGGAAGTGCACATAGTCTGAGTGGGGATGGTTGGAAGGACACTGGAGCCTGGCACCAGGCATCCATTGGCCAAGTCTGGGACAGCTGGAACATCAAAGAAGAAAGACTGGAAAACTGTAAGATGCCTTGTGTGCACAATGATGTTCCAAAGGAGAAAGAGCTGCAAACCCTCACTGGTCACTTGGGACCAGTGTCAGTAGAGAATGAGACAGCAACCTCGACTATTGTTCCCAGCAGGATCTATTTTAGGGAAGAATCAGAGCAAAGGTGTGGCAAAGACCTGTGGCAGGGGAGATCTGGAGGCTGGGAGATGGGAGCCAGAAGCCTGTCACTCTGGATCCAGCTGGAGCCTCTGCCAGAAAGAATTCCAGCACAGCTAACAACCACTAGAGGCTTTTCTTCTTTCTTGGCCACAAATCTGAAGTTTTCTAGGAATATCGGCAGCTTACAGTGAAAGGACACTAATGCTAGACCCTCATGGCTTCTGGTTTTATTTTATCACGTTGCAACCCCATCCAAGGCATCTCCAGAGACACCTCACATATCCCTTTATAAGAGGGAAGAGAGAAGGAGGAGTTTGCAACTTCCTGAGATGTAACTTAAGAGTCACCAAAATGGTCTAAGTGGCTGATGCCGAGACGATGGATTGTTTTCTATTCCTTGAGGAACCTCTACTTCCACTGAGGTGTGTCTTGCTTTGCTCACTCTCCCTCAGAAAGCACATACTCCTGCTTGGGTATTTCTTCATTTCTTTTGAGTGGCACTCTTTCTCTGAAGCCTTGAGCCTATATTAAAACACCTTTAATAACACTTCCAACTGTCTCACTCCACTGGTTAGTCCTGAAATTCTTTTCAGCCTAGAAGCCAAGTATGTTGGTTTGGCCTGAGTTGAGGCCCCTAACCGTCTATGGGTGCTCCTCAGGCTTGTGAAAGTTGCAGTTGGAGCTGTGTCTCTATCCCTCGCTCTGACAAGGACACTGTGAAGTCATCTTCTTTCAGTCTTAAGAAGGTAAGGGGGTCAGTCGCAGACTGGATACCAGTCAATGGAAGGCAGCCCTCAAGTCCTGAAGACCAGTGGGCAGAATGCACATACCACGTGGGGATGCAGTAAAAGATACCCCGAGAACAGTTCATGAATAGATGATCTGGTTCCCCCAATAAAGAGGGAGAAGGGACTTTTCTCAAGAGACGGATGAGCTGAATAAGGAACAGAGGTCTTGTCAGGATCCCAATGTGAATACAATGCCTGAAGACAGTTTGAAAACTACAGGATGTATATTCAGGGGGTAGGGGTGGGGGCAGGACAGGATGGGACAGAACAATTCACAAGATCCAAGCCTGAGATGATGTTAAGGATTTACAGTTAATTGCCTGGACATTGCTGGTACATGCCACCAATCCTAGCACTTGGGAGGCAGAAGCAGTTGGATCTCTGTGAGTTCAAGGCTAGCCTGGTCTAGAGGAAGTTCCAGGACAGCCAAAAATAAACAAAGAAACTCTGTCTTGGGGAAAAAAAAGAATTTACAGTTAATTCCTTTGGGTTGATGCCATTATTGTAATTAGCATTATGGGAGGGAACCCTATTATATAGTAGAGATATAGATGAGCAAAACCAACCAACCAACCAACCAACCAAACAAACAAACAAACAAACAACCCTATAGAACAAAACCCAAAATCAACCAGCTCTGGTTTCTGGTTTTCCTGTAAACTGCCTCAGGGGTGATCCTGCCTTCTAGATGCCATTGGGAAGTAATGAAAATTTAAAACTATGGAAATAAAAAGGGGAGAGGG